GAACCTGCTAAGACGATGTCCATTTGCTGGCTCCCATCCAGAGAACTGGGGTTTGCTCTTTTTTGTACCTGAGTTAAGTGCAGCTTTCCATTAGTTTTCCAAGTCTGTTGGGACAGGAGGGGCAGAGATGAAGCATTATTGCTTTAATACAATATGCCTGGGGTTTAATTGTTGGCCGGATTTAGATCATGCATAGAGACATGGATAGAGTGTTAAGTAAAATGGATGGATTTACAGGGAGGCTCAGATCTCGTTCATGTGAGGATAGACTATAAGTCATTTCTGGAAGCCAAGAGAAGGAAAAGAAATGCTAGCAGAGGAGCTGTGATATCTAAGTGAAGCCTAAAAATGCAGTTTTCTGGAAACCAACTGCACTAGAAGATGCCAAAGTCTAAAATAACTTTTAAAAATTAAATAGGGGGAAGATGAAGCATGAGCTACAGTTTAAATTGGTTAAGAGTACAGAATCTGGAACCAGGCTTCTGAGATTCAAATTCTAGCTCTGCCACCTATTAGCTATGTTACCTTCAGCAATTTATTCAACCTTTCTGTCCCCTTCCCCTCATGTGTAGGGTGGAGATTCAAACAGTATACACCTTATAAGACTGTTGCAAAGGTTAAGGGAATGCTAAATGGTTTGAATGTGTCCTCCAATGTTCATGTGTTGGAAACTTAATCTCCAATGCAATAGTGTTGAGAGATGGAACCTTTAAGAGGTGATTAGGAGACTCTGTCCTCATGAACAGATTAATGTCATTATCATAGGAGTGAGTCTGTCATCACCAGAGTGGGTTTGTAATCATAGAATGGGTTTATTATAAAAACTAGTTCAGAGCATGCTCTCTCTCTCTCTCTCTCTCTTTCTCTCTCTCTCTCTCTCTCATACTCTTTTGTCCCCCCACCTTCCACCATGGGATGACTCAGCAAGAAGGCCCTTGCCAGATGCAACCCTTTGACCTTGGACTTCTCAGCCTCCAGAACTAAAAGAAATACATCTCTGTTCTTCATAAATTGCCTAGTCTCAGGTATTCTGTTATAGCTGCACAAAACAGACTAAGATAGGAAGCTAACACATGTAAACTACCTAGAGCAGTGTTTGACACATTGTAATCATTTAACAAGAGTTCAAAAGCTTCTCTCTCCACTGACGGATGGCACAGAAGGAGTCTTTCCAGCAAACTTCCTTTGAGGCTGCTTATGTCTTGTAACAATTAAGATACAGTTAGGTTATGCTTCAGAAACGACATTCAAATTTCTATACCCCAGGTTGTCAAAGGAGTTGAGATGGAAGAATGAAATTCTGTGCTTAATTAAACTTTCATAAACCTAAGTGTGATCTCTGTGGTTTCAAATACTTTTAAGTTTTTTGAAAGTTTGGTGGAAGAGACAGGGGTTAACATTCAGGGCCAGGACTGGAGCATGGCCAGGGAGGCACCCAACGTATAAAAGTGGGAGATCATCTCTGCATCAAAGGACACAATCAACAGCATGAAAAGACAACCCATGGAATGGGAAACAATATTTGCAAATCGTATAAGGGATTAATACACAGAATATAAAATGAACTCCTATAACTGAACAAAAAATTCCAAAGCTAATTAAAAATAGACAGAATATATAGAGAACTCCTATAACTCAACAAAAAATCCCAAACCCAATTAAAAATAGACAAAGGACTTGATT